ATCTGAGCAAGAAGTCTCGCAAAAGCTACATTTCGAGTAGACAATAGGCAAACATGTGACCATCGGGTAGATGCATCAACCAAAACCATAAAATATCGAAATGGTCCACAAGGTGGTTGAATCGGTCCACAAATATCCCCTTGAATTCTTTGCAAAAATGATGAGGATTCATCATCAACCTTTAGTTGTGATGGTCTAATTACCAACTTCCCTTGGGAACAAGCCTTGCAAGGATTATCATTCGAGACATTAAGTGTCTGCTCAGTAATGGATGTCCATTAGAGTTGGTAATGATTCTACGCATCATGGTAGATCCTGGATGACCTAGACGGTCATGCCAAAGCATGTAAACCTTTGAATCAATGAACTTCTGGTTCATGACAGTATATGCCTCAATTGTCTTTATGTATGTACAATACAATCCACTCGATAAACCATGCAACTTCTCCAATATACGCTTCTGGGTATCATTGGAGGTAATGCATAAATATTCCACATTTTCTACACTTTTCGTTTCAAGGTGGTATCCATTTAGACGTATGTCTTTAAAACTCAACAAATTTCGAATGGACCGAGTAGCATATAATGCATTCTTTATAGACAATATTGTTCCATTTGGTAACATAATCTGGGCTTTTCCTGAGCCTTCAATTACATCTGATGGTCCTGATATTGTTGTTACCTTTACTTTTGCAAGTACCAAATTCGAGAAATACTTTCGATCTCGAAGTATTGAATGCGTGGTTACGCTATATGCAAGACAAAAGTCTCCGCCATTGATCTTGTTTTGAGAATAACCATAATTTTTATCCATGATCTCTGAGTAAAGAAAAAGCAGTTTATTCATACTGGAATACTACTTTTATTGAATTGAAAATGCGAGCATTAAACCACAGGTACAAATAACATGAGTACATTAAACATAAATAATTCAATCGGACCCATAAACTTCATTCCCTCTTTCATTAATAAAGTCTGTAGTATCCAGGTGGGTTGTGTTTAACTGTTATGATAAATTGGTCACTGGATCAGGGGTTTCCATTGGTTTAGCCTGGTCAAGGAAATTGATCTCGACACCCTTCTCCTTGAAGAATGCTTGATATAGTTCCACCAGATGCTTTGGGGTGCGACAAGTACGCGCCCAATGTCCGTTGCCACCACACCTATGGCAACCTCCTTCATGATTTCTAGGAGTGTTCACATGAGCTTTTCCTTTCTGGCGATTGGTATTTTTAAAGCTCGGGCCTGGATTATACCTTGGAACCTGGTTGTGAAACTGGACACCATGGTTCTTGCTTTTTCCTTTCCACCGACCTTGCTTGTGGCCACGTCCTCATTTGTAATTATTGCCACGGGAGGATATGGTATTCCTTTCAAGGGAAGCAACATTCACTTCTGGGAACGGTGTTGATCCAGTAGGTCGGGAATTATGGTTTTTCATGAGAAGCTCATTGTTCTGTTCAGCTACTAGGAGCACAGATATCAGCTGGTTGTATTCAGTGAAGCCTCGCGCTCTATACTGCTGTTGCAGTACCATGTTAGAGGCGTGGAATGTGCTGAAAGTCTTTTCCAATAACATCTCCTCAGTGATAGTATCCCCACAGAGTTTCATCTGAGAGGTAATTCTGAACAACGCCGAATTGTACTCAGCCACTGATTTGAAATCCTGGATCCTTAGGTGAGTCCAGTCATAGCGAGCTTTTGGAAGAATCACCGTTGTCTGGTGATTGTATCTGCTTCTTAAGGCATTCCAAAGGGCTAACGGATCTTCAACCGTTAAGTATTCGCTCTTTAGTGCCTCATCAAGATGGCGACGAATAAAAATCATGGTCTTTGCCCGATCTTGAGAGGATGAGCTGCTCTCTTCCTTGATGGTATCTCCAAGATTTGCTGCTTCCAGATGGATCTTGGTATCCAGTACCCATGTAAGGTAATTCTTTCCAGTAATGTCCAGGGCAGCAAAATCAAGCTTTGCCAAGTTTGCCATTTTCTTTTCTGAAAGAAAAATGAGGTGTGTAAGAACTTGCAGTAATATGTGTACTGGAGAAATATATTGTTAGAACTTCTGGTTCTTACAAATTTTTGATCTTCAGGCCAAAATGATAAGTACTCGAAACTTCAGGCTCGAGATTTACACAATTAATGAGAAGGGCAATTGTACCGCACCATTCTCATCGAAATAAGTATAGGATGGGTGATTATTCCGCACTACTTTAAACAGCAGGAAAATTTAAATATGTAGAGCAAGGTGGACGATTATATCGCACCACCTAAAATTGCGATAAAATTTAAATATGCAAAGCAGGGTGGACGATTATACCGCACCACCTAAAATTGCGATAAAATTTAAATATGCAAAGCAGGGTGGACCATTATACCGCACCACCTAAAATTGCGATAAAATTAAATATGCAAAGCAGGGTGGGTGATTATCTCACACCACCTAAAATTGCGATAAAATTAAATAACGGGCAAATTTAAATATGCAGGATAGAGCGGGCGATTATACCGCTCCACTTAAAATTTGCAGTAAAATTAGATCTGCAGTCCAAGATAGGCGATAGAACCGCACAATCTTGGATTGCATAAATAATCAGTGGGTTAGTAGTCAATATCTACACCAAACAAGAAATCAAGAATATAAGTGACTGTTAGTTGGAGAACTAGAAGTAAACATGGTGCAAATAGTTCTTTGCGAGGGTATACCCAGCAATTGAGGGAGAGGAAGAAGAAGAACAGTAAAAACCTTAGAGGAAACATTCTTTTTTCTTTCGGTGAAGGAAAATGAGAAATGATTAGAGAGTCGTGCTGATAACGTGTTATAAATAGGCAAAATTTATAGAGAGATAACCTTTACTCGGGACAGGAACGAAGCAGTTGCAGAGTATTATACCAACACAAGCTGTTGCAGAGGAAGTAATGTATATTATTGCTATTAGATATATTTCTCTTTTTCTTTCTTCTTCTTATTCACTCTTCTTTTGTTGAACATTCGTAAAGCTCTATTTATAGAGCATCACCATGGAAACAAACAAAAGCACTATTACACATATGACATGTTTACTGTATGCATGTGGGCATACATATTATACTATTTACAACAAAAATAAATATATAAGTAAATAGTACCTGGAATAATTTTTTTAAATAAAAATATATTTTTCGTTAAAAATTAACAGTACTATAAATGTTTCTTTAAGATTCCCTTCATTTTATACTTTCTCGCTTTACACTCAAGTCTTTTTTATTTTCCTTTTCTTTAGCTCACTTTTAGTGCTCCATAGTTCATAAAGCAATTAAAAGGTTAAAAATGTCACTTAGCATTACATATCCGCGTAGATAAGCTCACACCAACCCATCAATTTGAGATAGAGTTTGGAATTTTCCTTGGATTTGGGCATCCAGGGCTAGCCGGCCCATCAGAAGGGCACCCTTCGGCTTCTGTGCAGAGTACCCGTTGGGACTGGTTTGTATTTCAAAAATAAAATTTCAAATCAACATCTCCACTATTGGATTAGTGTTTATATTTTATATATCGTTAAAATTGCTACCTGTATCCCAATTATTTATTGGCATTTTAATCAAAATAGTTCTTAAGATTGATATAACTCCTTAATTGGTTTTTGAGGTTTAAAATTGATAGAACTGATTTGTCCGCTGTCGATCATTTTAGTCATTATGTGAGAAATCTCTGTTAAAGTGAGGGTATTTTGTCAAATTTACCTTTCCCTCTCATAACACTAAATGATAAAATGACAAAAATACGTTTATTTGTTGTCAAATTAATTTGGGTCATTGTTTATTAAATTGAGGGTATATTTGTCATTTTGACCCTTATTTAACAAAGATTTTTCATGGAATGATCAAAATGATTGATCGTGAACAAACTGAGAGAACAGTTTTATCAATTTCAAATCTCAATGACCAAAATGAGAAATTATGCCAATATCAAGGACCATTTTGACTAAAACGCCTTTATATTTTATTTTTTTTACAAGAAAACAACACGAACATGACAAATACGACCAGTTTGCCAGGCTATTTGTAGGGTCCACAAGAAATGGCAACAGTAAAAGGAGTTCCCAAAGGAAGAGGAACCCTTCGGATCCACTTTGTGGGAATCTTAGGGATCCCTTTTGTGGGAATCCTAGGGATCACCACATCCTAACCGTTCATCGTGCGCCCAATTTTCGTTAGATACTATTTGTGTTTAATTTTAAATAAAAAAGTCAAATAATTTTTTACCGTACAATACACGATGAATGACTAGGATCCCCACAAAGTAGATCCAGATGGGATCCAATTCCGTTCCCAAAATTGGGGTCGTACGGATGAGATAATGAAATTTAGCAACAATTGGGCTCGGGTTGGGAGTGGTTTTGGTTCCTAAATTCTAAATTTTGGGGTTTTAGCAACATACATTAGAATTGGTCTAAATGCCTTAAAATTTGGAACCCAAACATGCCCTTATTTCCTCTAGTGACGTTTAATATTGTCACGTAACTCCATTTTTCATTGCTTTTGATATCCACGTCACTTATAAAGAGACACACTTATCAACCACATTATATTTTATTTCACAACTGATTATTCAAAATTAACTACAATATTTATATGTATTTAATACAATTCTCATTTAACAGTAAAAAATAATTCATGTGAATATACGTATTTAATACAATCACAATTTGTCACTTAGTATTACGTCTTAGTGGCATTCCTATTCACTTTCGAACCAAATCATCATGTTAAGCCCATGTAAGACTTAAGGCTGGTTTGACATTGCTTAAATTTATCAAATACTCTTACACTACTTTTTTTACTAAAAAGTACTTTTAACATTGTAGTTTACCAAACACTTATCTGTTGATTTTGCAGAAACAATATTGACAAAAAAAAACATAGTAATCCCAAACTAGCCCGTAGCAAGGCCCAAGTTGAACATTAGTGAAACAACTTATATTGGGGTAGTACAGAGTGTGGCCCTGTGGGCTCGTCACTTAAACCTTACTTGTTAAACAGAAAGCATGGTCTGCATTTGCAGAAGCTAGCAGGGAATAGTAATGGAGGTCGAGACGGAGAGGACGAAACCTGCTGCTGCGTTCATGGCCTTTGGTACCAAAGGCGATGTCTATCCAATTGCTGTAAGTCATCATCCCTTTCTCCCACTCATTCTTTCCCTTTGGTTCCCGAGAAAATGCAAGAAATTGAAACATTGCCAGAATCTAATGACGGTTTTTGCTTCTGCGGTTTGCACTTTGCAGGCCATTGCGGCGGCTTTTGCTTGTGACCAGATACTGTACGACGTCGTCCTTATCACGCATTCAGCACATGAGGTTTGTTTGATAGTATACTATATATGTGTATGTATGTATGAACACTTCAAACTCGATATTTAGAGAAAAACCCAATATACTTTGTACACCAAAGGAATTTTACAATTAAGAATTAATTAGAGCATGACGATTCGATAGGGGAGGGTTTAATTTTTTATTTTTTTTCCCTCCAATTGAGCTTTCGAAGTGTTTTTCTATGAAAACTTATGATTGTAGGGGTCTTTTTTCTAATTTACTAATTGTTTTTGTAATTGGTTGGTTGTTGTTGTGACTTGTAATGCAGAACTTACGTTGTCATTTAGCCGAAAAACATGTTTCGTATCTTCCAATTTCATCACCACCTGTTGTCCCAATCCATCGGGAACATGATAGTACAGAAGAACCAGGTTCAGATTGCTCGGCTACTCTCTTGTTGTTGTTCTCTCAGCATGTGTAAAGTTGTCATTGGATGTTTTGTTTTACCAGGTTCTTTGGAGAAAATCATGTTTTCTGCTGAACACAGACAAGAATGTTGTTTGGCAGTGGAGAAGATATTTGGATCAGGCCCGAGCATGGAGGGTGATTTTATACTGATCAATTTCTTTGCTTTGGTACTTCCTTATTGCTGGTTTTTCCACTCTTTATCCTTTCCGTAACTTACGTCATAGGCATCTGTTCTATGGATGAATATATTGTGCATGAAAGAAGAATAAATTTTGAAAGGCTATATACAGGGATGTCAAATATTAACAAATAGAAGTTTTGTATGGTTATCTGGTTTTCCATTCAAGTTCTTACGTAGGTTTTATTGCCGTCTCAAACATCTTGAACATCTGCATCTCAAGTTAGCATTATGTTAAATTTTATTCGACCCTAAATAAGTATTGCATCCAACTAGACTTTCTGACAGTAGGTATAATGACGAGATATCTAAATTGGTTTCAATTGCTTGATGGTCAAGGAAGGATGGAGTATTGCAGAACTTTTTCATGTCCGTTGCATAGTTGCTGCTCCTTATGTTGTTCCATATAGGTACTAAACCTTTCGTTTTATTTTATTTAAGTTGAATATTGATCTTATGTAACAATCAATGTATATATGGTGACTGGCCAGCCTCAACTGTACGTGTTTTAATATGGAATCTCTCATGTTTATGAAGATCTTGGAGAGGCGGGGGATTAATATTAGGGCCACTTTGAAATTCTACTGCATAATGAGTTCCACTGATCATATAGAAAGGAAAATCAGTATTTGACTTTGTGTTTAATTGTATGAAGATGCATATAGGGTAGTGCTATCCACACACCCATTTTTACTTCTCACACACCCCTCTCAATTTTTCGGTTTTCAAATCGAATGAATTGAAGAAGATCAATGGCCAAAAATTAACGAGGGTGTGGAAGAAGAAAAAATGGATGTGTGAATAGCCTACCCTACATATAAAGTCAGGAAGCAATTATTCCATATCCTCATTATCAAATAACTAGAGCAACACTATTGTGTATAGGTATATAGAAAATCCAAGGAATAACGTAAGAACTTGTAAGTAGCTATAACGTTTTGAAGTTCTGGCTTGATGATTTGTTGCTGCTTCAAATTATGTTCCAGTGCACCTTCATCGTTTGAGCGCCAATTTGAAAAAGAACTTCCACTTTTATATAAATACCTACAGGAAGCTCACAACACTAAGGTACTTTATTGTTTGTAGAGTAATATTTGAAATAATGTTGATGTAAGTGGTATTGATCTGCCTTAGGAATTGATGGTGTACAGCATCGCTAACAAGTGAATTTCAATTTTAGTACCTTGTCTACGTAATATAAATTAAGTTTGTTACCTGCAAAAATAACATTCTTCTTTTCAATTTTTATATGCACATAGGTTTGTTGGAAAGATGTGATCCACTGGATGTGGCCGCTTTTCAGCGAGTATTGGGGATCCTGGAGATGTGACGATTTGAATTTGAGTCCTTGCCCTTTTACGGTTAATATCTTTGACTTGAAACTCCTTAATGCATTCAGTGTATTGTAACAGTAGTTCTTGAGGACCAACGTTGACACATTTGGTATTTTTTCTGCAACGAGTTCTTCACTCATCAAATGAAGTTTGTACCACCTTAGCTGAAAATTGTCTATCACATATCTGCTGTAATTATATTTGAACTTGTGTAATTGTTTCTTTGTCAAATGCAGGATCCAGTAACAGGTTTACCCACTTGGCATGATAGGCCTCCATCTCCGCTTCTTCTGTGAGTTCCGAGTTTTCCACTTGCACATAGGGTACAAGTAACAAATTTACAATTCTGGAGAGAGAGGGTTTACCCACTTGGCATGATAGGCCTCCATGGCTCCATCCCCCCTTTTTCTTTGAGTTCTGAGGTTTCAACTTGCACATAGGCATAGGTAACAAAATGAACATTCAAAAACATTCAAAAGCAGAGAGAGAGAGAGAGAGAGAGAGAGAGAGAGAGAGAGAGAGAGTACCCACTTGGCATGATAGGCCTCCATGGCTCCATCCCCCCTTTTTCTTTGAGTTCTGAGTTTTCAACTTGCACATAGGTATAGGTAACAAAATGAACATTCAAAAGCAGGACCCAGTAACAGGTCTACCCACTTGGCATGATAGGCCTCCATCCACCCTTTTTGTTTGAGTTCTGAGTTTTCAACTTGCTCATAGGTATAGGTAACAAAATGATTTAAAAGTGTTGATTATCTTTCTGCAATTATCTGGTAAATACTGTAGATTTTAAAGTTCCATGTGAAAAATGGCTAGTTTTCCATGCATCTATTCAAATAAATGTGTGTTATTTATTTAATTCTTTGCTGGAAGAAGTTATTTATAGTTTCTATTCTGAAGATTTTCCTCACTGTGTGACAGGTATGGATTTAGCAAAGAAATAGTCGAGTGCCCTGGTATAAATGTTTATACAATTTTAAACTTGTACAAATTTCTTTTATGTCTGTATTGTACAGTTGTACTACTGAATTCATAGGTTTGATATAGGATACTTGCGAAGGTGATGGTTTTGCATATCATGCAACTAGGTAGAAAATCAATCTCTAGCTAACATTCTCAAATCCCTTTTATTTACTGCTCTTGCTTTAGCCTTTTTAAATCTCTTACCTTCTAACTTTGTTGTAGCCCTAAACTTTTTACACAGGTTGCACCAAGGTGCTCCTAAACTTTCTACCTAAAAAAATTGCCCAGAAAAGTTTTGTATTGTTTCATTTAGTGGGATGAGAGGAATTCAGTGATGAGAATGAATAATAGTCCCTTTAGAGATTAAGTAGAAGCATATTCATAATGCAATCATCGTTGAAGGCTTGGAGCCAAGACTTATAGAGAAATCTGAGAAAAGCCTAAGAAATGACAGAGGAAGATTTTGATAAACAGTGAAAATGGTGCTAAAAACTCTGTTAAAGGGTTAAAGCAGAATAGGAATTGGTCAGATGATATTTTCTTTTACTTCTAAGGTCTATATTATGAGTTCTTGCATACTTCCCTAAACAAATCATTAATTACCTTAGCCCATAAATATTACTCATGGGAAATATAAAAGGCTCTTGAACTCTTTTCTGATTTTCAGACGCTTATCTCGGCATCATTAATTTGTTATGTGTCATTTTCTCTGTGAAACAACTCGTCCCTGAGTATTAGTTTTTTATGATAGCTTCTTCATCTTCTCTTTCATCGTGCTGAGAAAATTTGTCACTAGTTTGAAGCATAGAGGATGGAGTCAATCCCCAATTTTTGGGTGCCTACTTCATAAGTAGTTTCATATTTAATGAAGACAAAGATAATGTTATTTTCCCGAGGTGCACTGCTTTGTTATCAAACTTACATGGTCTTTCCAAGAGTAGATGGCAGGATTCTGTGTCAAGCACGTCACACAAGGGATTGTTTGAACTACTGTGCGAAGCTTACTTTGATTGCTTTCTTGAACTTAGTGATTCTGTATGACCATGGATATGATTGCACTTCAAGTTCACTTTTTCTATATCTTCACAGAAAACCTCAGAAAGGTTTCTTGGCATTATGGCAATGATTCTACAATCTCTAGAAACTAGGGTACGGATTCAGTAAGGATATGTCAATAAGATAATATTATTAAGTTCAATGCTAATCATACATGACCCCTTTGTCCAGGCACCCTATTTATGTTTCCTCACCACACAAAAGAAAACACAAAAGGTTGCAAATTATACTATTTACATCATTCATAATACTATCTTTGCTCTCATTTTCCTCACGTGTAAATAATACAGCATCCCATTCTTGTTCAGCAAGGAAAAGATTTGCATTTTCTTATATGGTTTTCCCATATATCTTGACTGTAATAGTGGTGTCACGCTAGAGTGTCGGCGAAAATCCTAAAGTCAGAGTTGACAATAGCCAAGGGATATTTCAATTTTGGATACATATAGCCAAGGGATACTCCATACCTAAAATTTAGGAGTGCTTCACAGCTTAAATAGCTTCCCCCGGTCATTTTATGCTGAGTGATTTTTACTATAATCAATGCATGCGACTTTATCATTTATTAATTTTTCGTAAATGCTACGGTAGATCCTGTCTCTTCTTTTGAATATGGTCGATCTGGTCAAGTGGTCAGTCACGTTTTGTTCCTACTATGTCAAAATTCTCACTGGTTTTTAGCACTTTGACAGGTTATTGGCCATCAAATGTTCGGGTTTGTGGCTTTTGGTTTCTCCCAAATGAATGGCAGTTTTCGTGTAAGCAGTGCAGTGAACTTTCCAGAATTGTTTCTTCAGAGCATCTTTACACAAAAGATGAAATGTGTTCAGCTCATGTTCAGTTAGAATATTTTTTGAAGACCCCAGTGTCTATGCCACCTATTTTCATAGGCCTGAGCTCAATTGGAAGGCAAGTTCTTTCTCTAATTGGTTCCTTAGCTACTTCTTTAATGCATTCTCAGAATTTACTTTACAAGAATATGAGGGACTCTGGATGTAATTGAATTATTACATGCTGTAGTCTTGCACTATATATAATTAGCTTTCTTTGTTCTCCTTTGTACAGGTTAATGCACGATCAACTCGTATGATTTACTGAAATACTGATATCTGAGTTTCCCATTGTGCATGCAGCATGGGATTTTTAAAAAACACTCAAGCGTTTCTTCGTCTTCTCCAAACTGTCTTAGAGATAACAAATTACCGCTTTATCCTCTTTACAGCCGGCTACATACCTTTAGATGCAGCAATCCGAGCAGTTGCTGCTGAGTCACCACCATATGTAACCCACAAGCAGTTTAATGACCAGTGCATTTCTCTCTTCAATGACCGACTCTTTTGCTTTTCTGGGTGAGCATCTCGTATTTATAAGAATATAAAATGAGCATTTTTTCTCTTGAAACTTGTAATGTTTGTGAATGTTTATTGGCAAACTTACTTGGAAACAATAACCTTGTGAGGATATTTGGAAAGAAAAAAGTATGTAAGCTATTTCAAAACTAAAAAAAATAAAAAAAAAAACTATGCAAAAAGCTTCTTGTATGACCATCTCATTCCGATCTGCTCCCACCTGAATGTGTTTGTGATAGCAAAATCACATTTTTTTTTTCTCTTAACATGTTGCATGTAGTTACAGGACTTTAATATTTGATAACAACATAATTACTCTTCACTGTGTTTATAGTTAGTGTATGCAATAGTAAACATGGATTGCACCCTCACGGAGCCGTTTGTAACTTCTTACTACCGTATTGTATAAAAGCTGTTTGCATGGCATTTGTTGACTACTTGACTTTATGTAGTAGACTCCTGTGTATCGTGGTGTTACCTTAACTAAGGTTGACTACTGTGTACTCTTGGTATTAACCTTAACAGTTAACACCAAGATACATAGGAGTCTACTACATAAAAACCAACAAATGCCATGCGCACAACTTTTATATAGAAAAGGCATATTACCCAAAGTTGTCCTTGAGATTGACATAACTCCTAACTTTGGTCCCAGAGATTTGAAATCAATAGAAGTGGTCCCTGAGTTTATCAACCGTCAATCATTTTGGCCATTCAAATAAGGACCAAAATGACAAAAATATCCTCAATTTAATAAATAATGGGCCAAAATGGTTTGACAAAAAAAATGAGGCTATTTTTTGTCGTTTTGATCCTTCTTTAACAGAGATTTTTTACGGAAGGACTAAAATGATTGACAGTGGACAAACTCAGGGACCACTTCTATCGATTTTAAATCTCAGGGACCAAAGTGAGGAGTTATGTCAATCTCAGGGACCATTTTAGCTAAAAAGCCTATAGAAAAGGCTAAGTAACTGAGGTAACTGGTTCTCATAATAACTTAATTTCAGGAATCTCTTTTAAGTTGTTTATGACTAGCACTTATTTGGAACTTTATTAGACTTTGGATTGATATACAACAACAACAACAACAAAGCCTTTTCCCACTAAGTGGGGTCGGCTATATGAATCCTAGAACGCCATTGCGCTCGGTTTTGTGTCATGTCCTCCGTTAGATCCAAGTACTCTAAGCCTTTTCTTAGAGTCTCTTCAAAAATTTTCCTAGGTCTTCCTCTACCCCTTCGGCCCTGAACCTCTGTCCCGTAGTCACATCTTCGAACTGGAGCGTCAGTCGGCCTTCTTTGCACATGTCCAAATCACCGGAACCGATTTTCTCTCATCTTTCCTTCAATTTCGGCTACTCCTACTTTACCTCGGATATCCTCATTCTCAATCTTATCCTTTCTCGTGTGCCCACACATCCCACGAAGCATCCTCATCTCTGCTACACCCATTTTGTGTACGTGTTGATGTTTCACCGCCCAACATTCTGTGCCATACAACATCGCTGGCCTTATTGCCGTCTTATAAAATTTTCCCCTGAGCTTCAGTGGCCTACGACGGTCACACAACAATGCTGGATGCACTCTTACACTTCATCCATCCAGCTCGTATTCTATGGTTGAGATCTCCATCTAATTCTCCGTTCTCTTGTAAGATAGATCCTAGGTAGCGAAAACGGTCGCTTTTTGTGATATTCGCTAAATTGCTCCGGTCATTAGTGTGGATAAGTATATAAATGGATAGAGATAGGAAAGCAAACACAAGATGTACGTGGTTCACCCAGATTGGCTACGTCCACGGAATAGAAGAGTTCTCATTAATTGTGAAGGGTTTACACAAGTACATAGGTTCAAGCTCTCCTTTAGTGAGTACAAGTGAATGATTTAGTACAAATGACATTAGAGTACAAATGACATTAGGAAATATTGTGGGAGAATGATCTCGTAATCACGAAACTTCTAAGTATCGGAGTGTGGTATCATCTTGACTTGCCTTATCTGTCTCATAGGTAGATGTGGCAGCTTCTCTGGAAGTACTCTTCCTCCATCCAGGGGTGGTATCTTTAACTGGTGGAGATGCACTAGGTAATGTATCAATTTCACTTGAAGCTTACTTGTAGTTTCAGGCTTGGTCAAGCGCGATACAAACCATGTAGTAGGAGTCCCCCAAGTCGCCGAGCTAGGGGATTTGCTGAAAGAGGTGACAGACAAGGTAAGCAATCAGAGCTCCGGCTGATTGTTCACCTTCTCCCCATCTTGCAGCAGCATGAAGGATAAAGAGAAGAAAAATGAGAAGAGATGATATGGGATACTTTTGCTTTTGAAGAAGTAACTTTCCACAGGCTTATTCTTGAACTGAGCTGGAGGGTTTTCTGGTTTCCTCCAGAGTATAAGGCCGACTGAAGAATTTGAGGGTCAAAACAAGTCCATCAAATCTAGAGTACGTTCGACCCTGCTGATATGGGATACTTTTGCTTTTGACAGAGTAATGGATGGATCGGCACGTGTGCTGTTACGCTTGTCTCCACATGCTTCCTTGTATCCTTCGCATTTGCCCTATCTGTTCCTAAGCAGATGTGGTATCTTCCCTGGCAACATAAGATGTTGAAGATGAGTACTCGAGAGCAATGCCAGGTAAGTAATCAGGTAAGGGGTTCCAGGCTGTCAGTTCCTGGCTGGGAGCTTGATTTCAAGTGCTGACTGATTGCTCTCTTTCTCCTTGTCTTGCAGGTAAAAACAAGGCCAAAGGAAAAGACAGGGAAAAAGCATGATATGGGATACTCTTGCTTTTAACCCTGATGATATGAGATATTCTAGCTCTAGTATAGCTTGTTTGCAAAGGTATTATCGGGGGGAAAGAAAGCTGAATATTTTGAAAGGCTTCGTTGGGAGTGCCCTCTCAGATATGAGGAAGGGTTGAGCATTTTTGCAGGTCTGCCTGTCCGTTGGGGATGGAGGTCGACATATATAGGAGTCTCCATAACAACAAGTAGTAATGCTATTCCTTTACCCTGCTTGGTCATAGCATGGTAGTGGGAGCTGCCAGCTTCACATGTTTTAACTCTGTCAGAGCACTTTGAAAAAGTGGTATGTGGTATCTGGCTCTCGAGATTCGGAGAACGATGCTTCTTCGATTTTTGAGAAAGCAATCATGGTGGGGGTCTGGCTCTCGAGATTCGGGGAGCAGTGTCTCTTCGATTTTTGAGAAAGTAATCATGTTGGGAGTCTGGCTCTCGAGATTCGGAAGGCGGTGCCTCTTCGATTTTGGAGTAAGCAATCTTGTTGGGAGTGTTTTCTCGGATGTGAGTAAAGGTTGGGCATGTTTGCTAGTCTACCTTGCCACGAAGCACGGAGGTTGACACACAGGGACTTTCCAATTATCCAGCAGTGGTACTGTTCCTTTACCCTTGTGGGTAATAATATGGTAGCTAGACCTTCAAAATTTATGTGTCTAAACTTTGTTAGTGCTGTTTCTTTGCTATTCTTTTACCTTTCTTGGTCAGAGCGATGTAGTGGGAGCTGCAAGCTTCACGTGCTCAACTTTGGCAGAGACTTTGACAAAGTTATCTGTGGTACCCATGAGCTATTGTTGCGTGTGGGAAGTGGGTGATTGAACAGTAAGATTCATGTGCTTTCTACTTCACCAGAAGTCTTCGACAGAATGCCCATAATTTCCGCAAAGCTAAGTGTGCGTGTGACAGGTGCTGACAAGGCTAGAAAAGAAGGTGCCTCTTCGATTTCTGAGATCGGCCCTCGTGGTCTCTGAGCAGCCCAGCTTTTGAGAAAGCAAGCGCCTCTTCGATTGATTCGGAGAACGATGCCTCTTCGATTTTTGAGAAAGCAATCATGCTGGGGGTCTGGCTCTCGAGATTCGGGGAGCAGTGTCTCTTCGATTTTTGAGAAAGTAATCATGTTGGGAGTCTGGCTCTCGAGATTCGGAGGGCGGTGCCTCTTCGATTTTTGGAGCAAGCAATCTTGTTGGGAGTGTTTTCTCGAATGTGAGTAAAGGTTGGGCATGTTTGCTAATCTACCTTGCCACGAAGCACAGAGGTTGACACACAGGGACTTTCCAATTATCCAGCAATGGTACTGTTCCTTTACCCTCTCTTCGATTTTTGAGAAAGTAGTCATGTTGGGAGTCTGGCTCTCGAGATTCGGAGGACGGTGCCTCTTCGATTTTGGAGCAAGCAATCTTATTGGGAGTGTTTTCTCGAATGTGAGTAAAGGTTGGGCATGTTTGCTAGTCTACCTTGCCACGAGGCACAGAGGTTGACACACAGGGACTTTCCAATTATCCAACAGTGGTACTGTTCCTTTACCCTTGTGGGTAATAATATGGTAGCTAGACCTTCAAAATTTATGGGTCTAAACTTTGTTAGTGCTGTTTCTTTGCTATTCTTTTACCCTTCTTGGTCAGAGCGATGTAGTGGGAGCTGCAAGCTTCACGTGCTCAACTTTGGCAGAGAACTTTGGCAAAGTTATTTGTGGTACCCATAAGCTATTGTTGCGTGTGGGAAGTGGGTGATTGGACAGTAAGATTCATGTGTTTTCTACTTCCCCAGAAGTCTTCGACAGAATACCCATAATTTCCGCAAAGCTGAGTGTGCGTGTGACAGGTGCTGACAAGGCTGGAAAAGTAGGTGCCTTTTCGATTTCTGAGATCGGCCCTCGTGGTCTCTGAGGAGAGGAGCCCAGCTTTTGAGGAAGCGAGCGCCTCTTCGATTTCTGAGATCGGCTTTCGTGGTCTTTGAGCAGCCCAACTTTTGAGAAAGCAAACACCTCTTCGATTTATGAGATCAACCCTCGTGGTCTCTAAGCAGCCCAGCTTTTGAGAAAGCAAACGCCTCTTCGATTTCTGAGCAGGCGCCTCTTCGATGTCTGAAGCTCCGTCGAGTGTAGCTTTTTATAGGGGCTGGCATTAAGTTCCAAAGCACACTTGAATCTCCACCAGTAGAAGCTCCATTCTTGCACTTCTAAGATCTTGATTTGTCCGACCTCTTCTCTCTTCAATACCTTTGAAAATGTCTGGCCCCTCCGACCGTCGTTTTGACTTGAACCTTGTTGAAGAGGTAGCCCCGCCTTCTCCAGACAACATATGGCGCCCATCCTTCGTCTCCCCTACTGGTCCTCTTACCGTTGGGGATTCCGTGATGAAGAATGATATGACCGCTGCGGTGGTGGCCAGGAACCTTCTCACTCCCAAAGATAACAGACTACTTTCCAAACGGTCTGATGAGTTAGCTGTTAAGGATTCACTGGCTCTCAGTGTTCAGTGTGCAGGTTCTGTGTCTAATATGGCCCAACGCCTATTTGCTCGAACCCGCCAAGTTGAATCATTGGCGGCCGAAGTGATGAGTCTCAAACAGGAGATTAGAGGGCTCAAGCATGAGAATAAACAGTTGCACCGGCTCGCACATGACTATGCTACAAACATGAAGAGGAAGCTTGACCAGATGAAGGAAACTGATGGTCAGGTTTTACTTGATCATCAGAGATTTGTGGGTTTGTTCCAAAGGTATTTATTGCCTTCGTCTTCTGGGGCTGTACCGCGTAATGAAGCTCCAAATGATCAACCTCTGATGCCTCCTCCTTCTAGGGTTCTGTCCAGTACTGAGGCTCCGAATGATCCCCCTCCGATGCCTTCTCTTTCTGGGGCTCTACCGACTGCTGAGACTTCTCCTAAGCAACCTTTGTGAAGGCTCCATCTTGTTTGTTTATTTTGACTCATGTATATGTACATATTTGTAGCTTATCGGGGATATCAATAAATAAGTTTTCCTTCATTTCAACGTATTGTGTTAAATACACCAAAGCCTTCTTCGCTAAGTTCTTTGAAATTTCTTTTGTTGAAGCTTGTATGTTGAAGCTTTCTGAGTGGAGCATGTAGGTTGGGGTAGTGTTCCCTTAATTTTTCGAGTGAGGAAAACTTCTCGGTTGGAGACTTGGAAAATCCAAGTCACTGAGTGGGATCGGCTATATGAATCTTAGAACGCCATTGTGCTCGGTCCTGTGTTATGTCCTTCGTTAGATCCAAGTACTCTAAGTCTTTTCTTAGAGTCTCTTCCAAAGTTTTCCTAGGTCTTCCTCTACCCATTCGGCCCTGAACCTCTGTCCCATAGTCGCATCTTCTAATCGGAGCGTCAGTAGGCCTTCTTTGCACATGTCCAAACCACCGTAACCGATTTTCTCTCATCTTTCCTTCAATTTCGGCTACTCCTACTTTACCCCGGATATCCTCATTCCTAATCTTATCATTTCTCGTGTGCCCACACATCCAACGAAGCATCCTCATCTCCGCTACACCCATTTTGTGTACGTGTTGATGCTTCACCGCCCAACATTCTGTGCCATACAGCATCGCCGGCCTTATTGCCGTCCTATATAAAATTTTCCCTTGAGCTTCAGTGGCATACGGCGATCACACAACACGCCAGATGCACTCTTCCACTTCATCCATCCAGCTTGTATTCTATGGTTGAGATCTCCATCTAATTCTCCGTTCTTTTGCAAGATAGATCCTAGGTAACGAAAACGGTCGCTCTTTGGTATTTCTTGATCTCCGATCCTCACCCCTAACTCGTTTTGGCCTCCATCTGCACTGAACTTGCACTCCATATATTCTGTCTTTGATCGGCTTAGGCGAAGACCTTTAGATTCCAACACTTCTCTCCAAAGGTTAAGCTTTGCATTTACCCCTTCCTGAGTTTCATCTATCAACACTATATCGTCTGCGAAAAGCATAACCAAGGAATATCATCTTGAATATGTCCTGTTAACTCATCCATTACCAACGCAAAAAGGTAAGGACTTAAGGATGAGCCTTGATGTAATCCTACAGTTATGGGAAAGCTTTCGGTTTGTCCTTCATGAGTTCTTACGGCAGTCTTTGCTCCTTCATACATATCCTTTATAGCTTGGATATATGCTACTCGTACTCCTTTCTTCTCTAAGATCCTCCAAAGAATGTCTCTTGGGATCCTATCATACGCTTTTTCCAAATCTATAAAGACCATGTGTAAATCCTTTTTCCCATCTCTATATCTTTCCATCAATCTTCGTAAGAGATAGATTGCCTCCATGGTTGAGCGCCCTGGCATGAACCCGAATTGGTTGTCCGAAACCCGTGTCTCTTGCCTCAATCTATGCTCAATGACTCTCTCCCAGAGCTTCATTGTATGACTCATTAACTTAATACCCCTATAGTTCATGCAATTTTGTACGTCGCCCTTATTCTTGTAGATAGGCACCAAAGTGCTCGTTCGCCACTCATTTGGCATCTTCTTCGTTTTCAAAATCCTATTGAAAAGGTCAGTGAGCCATGTTATACCTGTCTCTCCCAAAACTTTCCACACTTCGATTGGTATATCGTCTGGGCCTATTGCTTTTCTATGCTTCATCTTCTTCAAAGCTACAACCACTTCTTCCTTCCGGATTCGACGATAAAAGGAGTAGTTTCTACACTCTTCTGAGTTACTCAACTCCCCTAAAGAAGCACTCATTTCATGTCCTTCATTGAAAAGATTATGAAAATAACCTCTCCATCTGTCTTTAACCGCATTCTCTGTAGCAAGAACCTTTCCATCCTCATCCTTGATGCACCTCACTTGGTTTAGGTCCCTTGTCTTCTTTTCCCTTGCTCTAGCTAGTTTATAGATATCCAACTCTCCTTCTTTGGTATCTAGTCGTTTATACATATCGTCGTAAGCCGCTAACTTAGCTTCTCTGACCGCTTTCTTCGCCTCTTGCTTCGCTTTTCTATACCTTTCACCATTTTCATCGGTCCTCTCCTTGTATAAGGCTTTACAACATTCCTTCTTAGCCTTCACCTTTGTTTGTACCTCCTCATTCCACCACCAAGATTCCTTTTGGTGTGGGGCAAAGCCCTTGGACTCTCCTAATACCTCTTTTGCTACTTTTCGGATACAACTAGCCATGGAATCCCACATTTGGCTAGCTTCCCCCTCTCTATCCCACACACATTGGGTGATTACCTTCTCTTTGAAAATGGCTTGTTTTTCTTCTTTTAGATTCCACCATCTAGTCCTTGGGCACTTCCAAGTCTTGTTCTTTTGTCTCCCTCTTTTGATATGTACATCCATCACCAACAAGCGATGTTGATTAGCCACGCTCTCTCCTGGTATAACTTTGCAATCCTTACAAGTTATACGATCCCCTTTCCTCATTAGAAGAAAATCTATTTGTGTTTTTGACGACCCACTCTTGTAGGTGATCACATGTTCTTCTCTCTTCTTAAAGAAGGTGTTGGCTAAGAAGAGATCATATGCCATTGCAAAATCCAAGATAGCTTCCCCATCCTCGTTTCTCTCTCCAAAACCATGGCCACCATGAAAACCTCCATAGTTGCCTGTCTCCCTGCCCACGTGTCCATTTAGATCTCCTCCTATAAATAACTTCTCCGTCTGAGCAATTCCTTGCACCAAGTCTCCAAGGTCTTCCCAAAATTTCTCCTTCGTACTCGTATCCAACCCTACTTGAGGTGCGTACGCACTAATTACATTGATAAGTTCTTGTCCTATTACAATCTTGATTGCCATGATTCTATCTCCTACCCTCTTGACATCTACAACATCTTGTGTCAAGGTCTTGTCCACGATGATGCCAACACCGTTTCTCGTTCTATTTGTGCCCGAATACCAAAGTTTAAACCCTGAGTTGTCTAGATCCTTTGCCTTACTACCAACCCACTTAGTTTCTTGTAGACACATAATATTTATCCTTCTCCTCACCATAACTTCCACTACTTCCATAGATTTTCCCGTTAAGGTTCCTATATTCCACGTTCCTAAACGCATTTTGCTCTCTTGAACTCTACCCTTCTGTCCTAGCTTCTTCACCCTCCCCCGTCTAATAGGATCAAAGTACTTCTTTTGTGTGTCCCGTGTAAAGTTGATAGGGGCATATGCTCCCAAACAACTTTGAGTGGAGTCGTTCGAAAAGAAGTTTCTACGGCCCCCTTGCTCATTTAACACTGCATCCGGGTGCCAATGGAGATACAGCGACCCTTGCTCACTTATCATTGTGCTCGGGCCACACAGCGCGCCACTTACGGGTGACGCCCTAGCTTTAGCGCGATTTTGTTCTGGATTCATTTTCATAAGGATTCGACGTGATCATGGAGTGCCGGCTGTCGACTACCTGACGCCCTCCCCCTCCTCCTTTATCCGGGCTTGGGACCGGCAATGTAAAATTACATAGGCGGAGTTAGACTTTGGATTGATATGTTAAAGGAAAATTTAGAAAGGTTGTAGAGGATCATATTTGTTCATCCAATCAATTAAGTAGATTGTCCAAACCACTCGAGTGTTAGAATGAGAGAATCCGGAAGGCAGAGTGTGTGTGAGACAGAAGAAAGGGATAAGAGTGTTTCCTTGTTTTCTCGTTCTTGTCCTTTCTAGTTGTTCATCAATTCTTGAAGCTTGATAATATATTTTTGTTGTACCGTTGATGATATAGTGGAGATTCGTTGTTGCTGCCTTCTTAAAGTTATAGCCTAATGTACTTAATTCTTGGCGTTCTTCATCTTCTTGCTTATGTTTTTTGTGTTTTTTGAGTTTGATCTTCCCATCCTTAAATTTCAAAACACAGTAAGTTGCAGTGGGTTGGCCTCTGGTTATTCTTTACCTCTGCTAAATAATATTTTATTTCCTTGTTGAATAGAACTGTACCGTACAAGTGGCTGTTTACTCGATGTGCTGCTGCAATTCATCATGGGGGAAGGTGAGAGTGCTCCAACTCTTATTATATGTTAACTTAATTGCTGATTTTGTCAATGCCGTTCTAATTGTTCTAATTGAGCCTGTCAATTTCTTTTTTCCTCTCAAATTACTTCAACATTTTGTAGTAATATGTAACAAGCAAAGTATTGACTTTTTATTTCCTGTTTCCTGTAAATGTGGAAGTGGCACTACTGCTGCAGCACTATTGGCAGGAATCCCACAGGTTAGTTATGGAAGTACATGCATCTCTATATTCGATCATGAACATATGTTTTCTTTTGTTAATCAAGTATATCAGTTATAACAGTCAAGAGGCAAAAACAAATTGCAGGTAGTCTGTCCATTTGTGCTAGATCAGTTTTACTGGGCTGAAAGAATGTTTTGGCTTGGAGTAGCACCTGAGCCATTGAAAAGAACCCATTTACTTCCAGAAGAAAGTGATGAGAAAATAGCGGCAAATTTTCTATCGAGGGCCATACATGATGCATTATCCCCTGAAATTAAAGAACGTGCTGTGGAAGTTTCTAAGAGAATATCTCTTGAGGTAACACTTACTCTTGAATTATGAAATTAATAATTGTTGGTAGAAAGACCACACATGTAGATTTATATATCCTTGAATTGGAATATTTTATATGAGTTATGTCCCGTTCTGTCACTCATAGGATGTGCAAAGTTACTGTATAATTCCTATTCCTAATCCATCACCTTCCTCACTCCCTTTCTGAAGTGTCATTACGGCACTGTAATTTTAAATAGATTTGGCAGAAGGGGGAGGAAGAAGAAGGGGACTTTATAGTTTATATAGTAGCGTGCAACATGTTTTGTTTATGTTTTTCAATGTTCAACGTGATATGTGTAATCTGTGATGCCATTCAATGCGTCTACAAAATTTGCGTTGAAATGTTTTCTTTGCATGGAAACAAATATTTTCTTTTTATTTGTAATTTTCTACTAGGTTGGATATTCCTAGTTTCCATCACCATCGATAGTTTGGAGATCTGACTTTTTTATTTTGTGGTGGGTCTCTGAAAATTTGACCTGAGAACATGAATAAAAGGTGCTACAAATCTAATCTACCAAATAATGTTTTACTTTTCAGGATGGTGTCTCAAACGCGGTCAAATATATCAAGGAAGAGATCATTGGTGGTTCAAGCTGATCATTCGCAATCTCTTGCACTGGCCTTCGAACATAGTTTTCAGCAATGCGGACAGGAGATTCTGAAAATGGTGGAAATGCTTACTGCGCGAAGTTTTCTTCGTATAAAGATTTGGAGGAACTAATGATGTCTGTAAGAAGTTTTCTTACTAAGGATGCCTAAATCACGTGTGCCGTCGGTGTGTCAACTGTCCATGTACTTTGAAAAGTGGAACAGATGAAAGGTGGCATGTTTCTATGAAAAAAAGATATATGGAGCATATGAAGTAGCTTGTGTTTGATATTTGGTACTTTGAAAGAGATGGTTGTACATCTAACTCAGTTGAAAGGTTAGAGCAGAAACTGTTAACTTGACGGAGAAAGAGAACCGCCATTTTATCTCCACGAGCCGTACACCGGTGTATGAGATGCACTGATTATCTCTAGGAGTGTTTTTATGGTCTGGTGATATTTCTCTCCGCTTGTAAGTGAGAAGTCTTATATTCAAATCTCGTGGATGGCGAATTCGATACCAAATTAGGTTATCCATTGTGTGGTTTAACCGAACTTCCTCTTTCCAGTAGTGTAAAATATATCGTTGTACTAAAAAAAAAAAACAAAAAAGCAAAACCTTATGGGCCACATTATTCCCTCCAATTCAATGGGCTTGCATTTCGATTTATTAATGAAAGATCTGTAGGTAATTTTAAATCTACATAAGAAATTCAATATTTTATTACACTGGGATTTTTTTTTTTAATTTTTACATGAAATTGCGGATTCAATAATCTAATGTTTTACTTTTAGCACTGTAAAAACAGAGATAAAAAGATAAACCACGAGCAAATATAAGGGTAAAACCGTAAAACTCATGAGCTTTGCTCTCGGGCGCATGAAAGGACAAGAGATTGATTGTTTAGCGTTCCAATGTGCGGAGAAGAATTTCCATAAGACTCAGCAACCCAAGGACTATATTTACAAGGCTGTATTATTTTATAAGCTCAACTTCAATTAGGGGTTAGAGGTTAGGGGGTAATGCTAGAGAGATTATCTACTTGAATAATTTTTCGTAGACCATTGATTACATGATGTGGTAATTGATGGTCAGATTCATTGTTTAAAGGATAATGACATTTACACACCATTCTTTATTTCTCACACCCTTGTTAATTGTTGTTCATTGATATTCTTTAATTCATTTGATTTGCAGGGTGAAAATTGAAAGAGGTGTATGAGAAGTAAAAATAAGTGTGGATAGTACCATCTTGTTTAAATTATTAAAAAAATATCCAACTATCAATGACGCATCACTTGGTCTACAAAATATAGTTTAATAATATGATCTCCCTAGCATTTTCCGGTGGTGAAAATGTATTTAAGGGTTTACCTTTTTTATTTTTAATGAATATGGATTTCTAATATAGAGATTGGTACAATAGGTGGATCGAGAGAAATAAAATCATATCTTTCTCTAAGGAAATAAATATTATATTTCTAAATGTGATTTCGAATAAATTAAAATCATATCATTACAAAATCTTAAAACATTAAATTCCAGATTACCTTCTGTAATACTATTCATCTTTATTCACCTATAAAAAGTGAACAAAAACCACATAATTGTATGCAAACTTGTCCGATTTACTAAATATATTCATCTTTACTCTTTTTACATTTACCATCTGTCATTTTTCGACCTGCAACAGTCAGAAAATGGCCACTCAGGTTAGAGGCAGTGCAGTTGTTACCGCAGTAATAGTGATAGAGTTGTGCATGGCTCTGCATGGTGGGATTGGTCATGCCGAAACCTTCACCGTCGGAGAAAATGATGGCTGGACCTTCAACGTCGAGAACTGGACTAAGGGCAAGACCTTTGCTGCCGATGATACATTGGGTAAATTTTACTTTAACTTGTCGCCAACTTATATATTTGTACATGTTTGTTTGATAATTGTTTTCGTTTTGAGTTTTAGTTTTTGTTTTTAGTTTTTGTTTTCGACGTATGAGAAAAGGATACTGAGGAAAGGAGAAATTAAAATGAGGAGTGGAGATAGCGGAAGAAATCTAGAGGAATTGATACGAACACAATTTCAAAAGTGCACCAGTTGAAATGGTTTTTTTCTTTCGTTTTGTGCGTTTTTTCTTATATATATCTTCTGCATCTCTGTTATTTTTCATTTTTGCTCTCATTTGTTGTATTTGCAGTGTCAAATACAATAAGGACCTGCACAATGTGGTAGTGGTAGATGAAAATGGTTACAAAACATGCACAGCCATCGGCAAAGAATTATCGTCGGGAAACGATGAAATCAAACTTGCGCGAGGACAAAACTACTTCATCTGCGGTATTCCTGGCCACTGCGATCGTGGCCAAAAGATAGCAGTCACTGCTAATTAATAATATTAATAATAATTAATTGCTTTAATAATAATAATGTTTTACTTTAATAATATATTAAGAATTGTATGAGGCAAAAGCCTTGACTCAATGTCTAAAGTTTAAATAAAATTAGTGAACTGTGTTTGTTGTCTGAATCGTATTTCATGACCAATCTCTCTTTTTATTTGATTTTTCTACGTTTCCAACAAAATTTGTATTTTTCCGAGGGAAAAAAAAGAAACAAATGCATTGTTGGATAGAAAAATATTAGTCAATTTACCCCCAAAACTTGTAAGACACTACTAGTGTTCTTCCTAAATTTTAATTCAGCGTTCTGGCCAATTTTCCAAAGAACGCTTACAATTGGTTAAGTTTCGCCTCGCAGTTAAATTTTCATAACTTCCATCTAGTCTTCCGTTTAATCTTCCATGGCAAAAAAGGTCATTTTCTTCCCTACCCTCTTCTCTTTCCTTTTCTCCACCTACGTGCTATGGCCCAGTAACACATCATCTCCGCAACGGTAACAACATAACCGTCGTCAACTTGTCGCGACCGCCGTCATCAACATAGTCCATTGTTCTTGAGAAATGCTTCAGTCTGTCTCATTCCTCGGAAAAAAAAAATTTCGAGATCCCTATCAACCAAACTAATATTTAGTTCAACAAACGAGTAACCATTACCTATTTCCAGACAACGAGGGCACGATAATTGCACATTTAGGTGCTCGTATGCTACTATCTTACTACCAAAAGGATGAGATGCCAAATGCATCTATCAGTAATAGATCCTTTAGATTCAACATGAATCATGCTCCAACCTCGAATCCTCAATCAAGAACATTAAAAAACCTTGCAAATGGTTAAAAATAGATATGACCAAAAAACAAATATTACAAAGGTGGCTATTTTTTATTTTGCTTGTCCAAATAGGGTGGAAAATAGTTGAGAAAAATTAAATTCAGGTCAGCAGTCAATTCCGGGGCTACGTGCCAATATGCCGAGAGATTTCACAGTGTGATTAGTACACGAAGTAATACATTACGTGTTATCATATAAATAATAAGATTTATGTGTTAAAAAATTAATAATGTTAAAAAAAAAATTTAATAATTTTTATAAAAACACGTACCACCATGTCCCGTCATAATAAAAAATTTGTCCGGCGCGTAACCACCTACAGCCTGACCGACAGCAATCAGCAGTTGCATCCATCATCGACACATTGCTTAGGTCTCACTCACCCTTCACAGTTCACCAACTCTCTCTCTCTCTCTCTCTCCATTTCTCTCTCTAACCTCAAACACCAAAGCTCAAAGAGTCCAATCTCCAAAGAGTATGGATTTCACAATCCAGGTTAGAGCAACGAGGAGAAGAAGAAGAAGCAACGGCATTCCCCATGGCATTTTCTTGATGCTGTCTCTGCTCCTCCTGCTATCATTCCTTCCAAACCCCACAAACGCCTCGATCCACGTCTACGACAACCAAACCTTCAGAGAAGTCGGCAACGCCAACCTTCTCTCCGGCGGCAGCGAAGGCATCGCCGCCACTCTCTCCGCCCGTTCTTACATTCGGTAATGCTTTCGCATTTGTATTTCTTTCAGCTTATTGCTAGACCTATGTTCAATTTGCTTCATTCAATTTTATTGGGTTTTTGGAATGTTGGACATGTGCAAGATTTTAGATTTTTGAATTTTGAAGTGGGTGATCGATTTGGGTATTTCTACTTTTGTTTGGGTAGCCAATAAAATGTGTTCTATGAAAAGGGTAAAGCTTAATTCAATCTATCTGAATGTGGGATGGACCAGAAGTGGGGAAATTTAGCACAGTATAGTAATATTCTCAATGAGGGTTTAGTATAAACATTGGGTTTTAGTTAGTAGCATCCAACTACGTTTTCGATGCAAATTAATGATCAATTAAATTTACCAAGTCACTAGTTTATGATGACTGACACATAGACGATGAATGCGAAATATGGTGTAACTATGATCCTGCAGAATCCATGGACATGACAGAGAATAAAAGAAGGATTTCTAGAAATTGTTTCGCGGAAAGTATGGTGTGCAAAACTAAATTCACAAAAAGTTTTTCTTGAAGCAGCTGAAGTAGATCTTCTAGTTTTATTTATTGTAAGCATCATTCCTTAGTCTCAGAATGTCCTCACATTGTCATTCACCAAGTGCATAATCATTCTTTTTGGCGGGGACCTGGATAAGTATTAAGGACGCTGCTTTATATTGTGCAGACAATGTAACTGAATTCATAGTCCGATACATTTACATGGTGCGATTTATTTGACAGCAACATAGTTTTGTTGTATGTGCACGTTGCTCCCTCGTTCCTGCCTCTCCTCACTAAATTTTTTTTTATCATCACTTTTGTCTCTGACATTTCTGTGTGGAACAGATTCGAGAATATCACCTTCTGGAGGAGCAAGGATGCTGCTGAGAAGCTTTCAGACATGGAGCATAGTACTGGGTTGATACAAGTTATAATATTTGAGACAGCTGATCGGAATAATATCGGTGGTTCTGCTTATGGCGGACAAAGAGCTATATGTTGCACTCCTGATCTTGCTAAGATGGAAGGTTGTAAGCAAGGTGAAGTCATCAGGAGACCTTCTGCAACAGATAAGAATTGGCCTATTGTTTTAAATGTACAGTTCAGTGGGAACTACCTGTACACAAACATGGATTATCAAGAGATTTTAATCCCAAAAACTGGGATGTATAACTTGTTTTTTGTAGCATGTGATCCAAAACTAAAGGGACTAACTATGAGCGGGAAGACTTTGTGGAAAAATCCCAATGGTTATCTACCGGGTCGAATGGCTCCACTAATGAAGTTTTATGTGTTTATGGCACTTGCTTACGCGTTGCTTGGAATAATTTGGTTCACTCAGTATGTGAGGTTTTGGAAGGATATTCTGCAACTTCAGCACTGCATCACAGCTGTTATTGCTCTTGGGTTGTTTGAGATGATTCTTTGGTATTTTGATCATGTAAATTTTAATAATACAGGGATGAGGCCAATTGTTGTTACAACATTGGTTGTGACAGTTGGAGCTGTGAGAAAAACAGTTTCCCGTCTTCTTATCCTCATTGTTTCAATGGGTTATGGTGTGGTGCGGCCCACTCTTGGGGGCCTTACGTCAAAGGTGCTTCTCCTTGGAATAACATTTTTTCTGGCCACAGAGTTGCTTAATATCACGGAGTATGTGGGGACAATCAATGATGTATCCGGAAGAGCAAGATTGTTTCTAGTTCTTCCTGATGCTTTCTTGGACGCATTTTTGATATTATGGATTTTTACTTCTCTCTCAAAAACACTAGAGCAGCTACAGGTATACAATTTTGAATTCCTCTATTTAAGTTACATTGGCATTGTTGTTTCTTGATTTCATGCTTTCCTTGTATTTTATTTTCGCCGTAACATAGCAGTTATAAATGTTGAACCATATATTCTTCTCAGGCAAAGAGAAGCTCCGTCAAACTGGATATGTATAGGAAGTTCTCAAATGCATTAGCAGTCACAGTCATTGCCTCGGTTGCATGGATAGTGTATGAGGTATGGTTTTATTTATCTTAACTAGGCCCAGGTAAAGAATGAGTTACTGCATCCTTGGCTGACTAGAAAATTTTGTTCAAGTGTTTCATATCTTCAACCTGCACAAATTTGACGTACAAACACTGAGGATTCTGAGTGTGTTTTGTCTATTTGAAAATATACTCATATCAAGGCTTCAATTGAAGCCAAATTGGAATCTTAGCAATTCACCATATGAAATTAAATAGGATTGCATATGATTAGGTACTCACCACTGTTCCTTCATGGCTTCTGATTTTGCGCCAAGATCCCCCTGGTCAAGATTATGAGGTTACTGAGTTGCACTAGAAATCTTGCAGTTGAAAAATATCACCACCTTTTGTCTGGTTAATGTAAAGAAGGCATAATGAGTAGCAGACTAGCAGATTATGTTGACAGACAGACAAAGTGATACTCATTTGGTGTAGTGTCTATATACTGTACTATTATTATGCATGCTGCTCACTTTTTCTCTTGCTTTTTTTTGTCGGTTTTGAACTTGGGTTCTTTGTATGCCTGTGTCTTATCCTTTCAAATTTTTATCTTCTTCGTGGGTTTGAATATCTACTAGACGTTTGACAAGCCTCCGCTGGCAGGTGTACTTTAAAGCAACAGATCCATTCAATGAGAAGTGGCAGAGTGCTTGGGTCATCACTGCTTTCTGGGATATTCTTGCGTTTGCATTGCTGTGTGTGATCTGCTATCTTTGGGCTCCATCTCAGAGTTCTCAACGGTGCGTTATACTCTTGTACTCCTATATAGTCAATATAATCCTTAAGTTGAATCCTTTTGCTAGGGAAATAAGGTGTCCTCAACGGAGAGTATGTTGCTTACTTTGGATCCGCTTGCAACTTTTCTGCAATTTGTATTGTCACTTATTGAACCAATAGATGCCAGAGTATACGGACTTAAATCATCATGTCAAAGTGTCAAGCATCCACATGCTTTTTTAGGTTCATTATTGTTTGGATTTTAATGCAATTGATGGAATGTTTCCCTCATTCATGACATCAGGAACTCTATCTGTAACTGACATCACTCGTTAGATAAATTCCTTCATGTCGTAGAATTCTTAGGGTTCCCTTGGACCCGACTGAGCTGATTTGAACTGCCAAATGTCCATAGGTATGCTTACTCAGATGAAGTGGGAGAAGAGTCTGATGACGAAGAATCTCACTCTCTTACAAAGGCCAAGCTAGCGGGTGATATCAGCTTAGTCAAGCAAGACAACATTGAAAGCACCGAAGATTTTGATGAAGATGATACAGAAGACAAGAAGGAATGATGTTTCAGCGACGACCTTATATTGAACCTTTCTCTTCATACAAGTTCATGGAGGCCGACATGGCTTAACGCCCCTCAACTAACTTAAGCAATGTCCCGTTGGCCCCGTCAACTTGGCATGCAAAGAGGTGTTGTAAAATTTTTGCTACTTTCAACTCGGTCGAGTCAAAAGGATCCAGGTTTGTTTCCCCTGTTCTCGAAGCTAATTTCGTTTTGTTGTAGATGTAAAACCTTAGGTTGTCCACAAAGTTTGACAAGAGTAGATGGAGTCATGAAAAGAAAGAAAAGGGTTGTGTATTGAAAAGCACATTAAGCAATTGTAATCTTGATTAGTCATCATGTTTTGTAATTTTGCTCTGAAGGATGAATCAATGTCTTTTCTTTTGCACTTGTCATCTTCCTTTTCATTTCTTTTCTTTTACAATATTTCTCTTCCATTAAAAGAGAAATGAGATAAAAAATGTCGTACCCAGTGCATAAGGCTCCCACTTTACGCAGGGTCTGGAAGAGGTGAATGTCGGCTAGCCTTACCCCCATTTATGAAGAGGCTGCTCCTAAGTCTCGAACCCGAGACCTACTGCTTATGGGCGAAGGCACTTGCATGCGTTTTTCATTATCTTGTTTTTATTATTAAATAAAGTTATAGGATGATTTTTTTTGTTAAAACTCAAAATTTTGAAGTCATTTTCATTGATTTTCCTTAATAATAATGCTTGTGTCCTTTCATGGGAGGACTTACTTGTTCTCCACTTATAATTAACGAACATTTATCGTCTGAACATAATAATTAGATCTACTTACTCTTTTTATCATCATCTAAAGATCATATCTGAAAATAATCATTCAATTGGAAGACCGTTTAGCCATTCATATGATTAAAACAAATGGATAGCGCATCATAAGGATGCTACTTGTTACAAAAATTGTTAATTGATTTAAGTTTTAACACGCATAGATGACTAAACAATTTTTAAATTAAATGATTTTTTGCAAATATGATTTTTAAATCATAACTCCGCCGTGTAAGTTTATCTTACATTGCCGGTCCCAAGCCCGGATAAAGGAGGAGGGGGAGGGCGTCAGGTAGTCGACAGCCGGCACTCCATGATCACGTCGAATCCTTATGAAAATGAATCCAGAACGAAATCGCGCTAAAGCTAGGGCGTAACCCGTAAGTGGCGCGCTGTGTGGCCCGAGCACAGTGATAAGTGAGCAAGGGTCGCTGTATCTCCATCGGCACCCGGATGCAGTGTTAAATGAGCAAGGGGGCTATAGAAACTTCTTTTCGAACGACTCCACTCAAAGTTGTTTGGGAGCATATGCTCCTATCAACTTTACACGGGACACACAAAAGAAGTACTTTGATCCTATTAGACGGGGAATGGTGAAGAAGCTAGGACAGAAGGGTAGAGTTCAAGAGAGCAAAATGCGTTTAGGAACGTGGAATATAGGAACCTTGACGGGAAAATCTATGGAAGTAGTAGAAGTTATGGTGAGAAGGATAAATATTATGTGCCTACAAGAAACTAAGTGGGTTGGGTGTAAGGCAAAGGATCTAGAAAACTCAGGGTTTAAACTATGGTATTCGGGCACAAATAGAACGAGAAACGGTGTTGGCATCATTGTGGACAAGACCTTGACACAAGATGTTGTAGATGTCAAGAGGGTAGGAGATAGAATCATGGCAATTAAGATTGTAATAGGACAAGAACTTATCAATGTGATTAGTGCGTACGCACCTCAAGTAGGGTTGGATACAAGTTCGAAGGAGAAATTTTGGGAAGACCTTGGAGACTTGGTGCAAGGAATTGCTCAGACGGAGAAGTTATTTTATAGGAGGAGATTTAAATGGACACGTGGGCAGGGAGACAGGCAACTATGGAGGTTTTTCATGGTGGCCATGGTTTTGGGGAGAGAAACGAGGATGGGGAAGCTATCTTGGATTTTGCAATGGCATATGATCTCTTCTTAGCCAACACCTTCTTTAAGAAGCGGGAAGAACATGTGATCACCTACAAGAGTGGGTCGTCAAAAACACAAATAGATTTTCTTCTAATGAGGAAAAGGGATCGTATAACTTGTAAGGATTGCAAAGTTATACCAGGAGAGAGCGTGGCTAATCAACATCGCTTGTTGGTGATGGATGTACATATCAAAAGAGTGAGAAAAAAGAACAAGACTTGGAAGTGCCCAAGGACTAGATGGTGGAATCTAAAAGAAGAAAAACAAGTCATTTTCAAAGAGAAAATAACCACCCAGTGTGTGTGGGATAGAGAGGGGGAAGCTAACCAAATGTGGGATTCCATGGCTAGTTGTATCCGAAAAGTAGCAAAAGAGGTATTAGGAGAGTCCAAGGGCTTTGCCCCCACACCAAAAGGAATCGTGGTGGTGGAATGAGGAGGTACAAACAAAGGTGAAGGCTAAGAAGGAATGTTGTAAAGCCTTATACAAGGATATGACCGATGAAAATGGTGAAAGGTATAGAAAAGCGAAGCAAGAGGCGAAGAAAGCTGTGAGAGAAGCTAAGTTAGCGGCTTATGACGATATGTATAAACGACTAGATACCAAAGAAGGAGAGTTGGATATCTATAAACTAGCTAGAGCAAGGGAAAAGAAGACAAGGGACCTAAACCAAGTGAGGTGCATCAAGGATGAGGATGGAAATGTTCTTGCTACAGAGAACGCGGTTAAAGACAGATGGAAAGGTTATTTTCATAATCTTTTCAATGAAGGACATGAAAGGAGTGCTTCTTTAGGGGAGTTGAGTAACTCAGAAGAGTGTAGAAACTACTCTTTTTATCGTAGAATCCGGAAGGAAGAAGTGGTTTGTAGCTTTGAAGAAGATGAAGCATAGAAAAGCAGTAGGCCCAGACGATATACCAATCGAAGTGTGGAAAGTTTTGGGAGAGACGGGTATAACATGGCTCACTGACCTTTTCAATAGGATTTTGAAAACGAAGAAGATGCCAAATGAGTGGCGAACGAGCACTTTGGTGCCTATCTACAAGAATAATAGGGCGATGTACAAAATTGCATGAACTATAGGGGTATTAAGCTAATGAGTCATACAATGAAGCTCTGGGAGAGAGTCATTGAGCATAGATTGAGGCAAGAGACACGGGTTTCGGACAACCAATTCGGGTTCATTCGGGTTCATGCCAGGGCGCTCAACCATGGAGGCAATCTATCTCTTACGAAGATTGATGGAAAGATATAGAGATGGGAAAAAGGATTTACACATGGTCTTTATAGATTTGGAAAAAGCGTATGATAGGGTCCCAAGAGACATTCTTTGGAGGATTTTAGAGAAGAAAGGAGTACGAGTAGCATATATCCAAGCTATACAGGATATGTATGAAGGAGCAAAGACTGCCGTAAGAACTCATGAAGGACAAACCGAAAGCTTTCCCATAACTGTAGGATTACATCAAGGCTCATCCTTAAGTCCTTACCTCTTTGCGTTGGTAATGGATGAGTTAACAGGACATATTCAAGATGATATTCCTTGGTGTATGCTTTTCGCAGACGATATAGTGTTGATAGATGAAACTCAAGAAGGGGTAAATGCAAAGCTTAACCTTTGGAGAGAAGTGTTGGAATCTAAAGGTCTTCGCCTAAGCCGATCAAAGACAGAATATATGGAGTGCAAGTTCAGTGCAAATGGAGGCCAAAACGAGTTAGGGGTGAGGATCGGAGATCAAGAAATACCAAAGAGCGACCGTTTTCGTTACCTAGGATCTATCTTGCAAAAGAACGGAGAATTAGATGGAGATCTCAACCATAGAATACAAGCTGGATGGATGAAGTGGAAGAGTGCATCCGGCGTGTTGTGTGACCGCCGTATGCCACTGAAGCTCAAGGGAAAATTTTATAGGACGGCAATAAGGCCGGCGATGCTGTATGGCACAGAATGTTGGGCGGTGAAGCATCAACACGTACACAAAATGGGTGTAGCGGAGATGAGGATGCTTCGTTGGATGTGTGGGCACACGAGAAAGGATAAGATTAGGAATGAGGATATCCGGGGGTAAAGTAGGAGTAGCCGAAATTGAAGGAAAGATGAGAGAAAATCGGTTACGGTGGTTTGGACATGTGCAAAGAAGGCCTACTGACGCTCCGATTAGAAGATGCGACTATGGGACAGAGGTTCAGGGCCGAAGGGGTAGAGGAAGACCCAGGAAAACTTTGAGAGAGACCCTAAGAAAAGACTTAGAGTACTTGGATCTAACGGAGGACATGACACAGGACAGAACACAATGGCGTTCTAAGATTCATATATAGCCGATCCCACTCAGCGACTTGGATTTTCCAAGTCTCCAACCGAGAAGTTGTCCTCGTTCGGGAAATTAAGGGAACACTACCTCAACCTACATGCTCCACTCACAAAGCTCCAACATACAAGCTTCAACAAAAGAAAATTCAAAGAACTTAGCGAAGAAGGCTTTGGTGATTTAACACAATACGTTGAAATGAAGGAAAGCTTATTTATTGATATCTTGATAAATTACAAATATGTACATATACTTGAGTCAAAATAAACAAACAAGAGGGAGCCTTCACAAAGGTTGCTTAGGAGAAGTCTCGGCAGTCGGTAGAGCCCCAGAAAGAGAAGGCACCGGAGGGGGATCATTCGGAGCCTCAGTACTGGACAGAACCCTAGAAGGAGGAGGCATCAGAGGTTGATCATTTGGAGCTTCATTACGCGGTACAGCCCCAGAAGACGAAGGCAATAAATGCCTTTGGAACAAACCCACAAATCTCTGATGATCAAGTAAAACCTGACCATCAGATTCCTTCATCTGGTCAAGCTTCCTCTTCATGATGTTTGTAGCATAGTCATGTGCGAGCCGGGTGCAACTGTTTTATTCTCATGCTTGAGCCCTCTAATCTCCTGTTTGAGACTCATCACTTCAGCCGCCAATGATTCAACTTGGCGGGTTCGAGCAAATAGGCGTTGTGCCATATTAGACACAGAACCTGCACACTGAACACTAAGAGCCAGAGAATCCTTAACAGCCAACTCATCAGACCGTTTGGAAAGTAGTCTGTTATCTTTGGGAGTGAGAAGGTTCCTGGCCACTACCGCAGCGGTCATATTATTCTTCATCACGGAATCCCCAACGGTAAGAGGACCAGTAGGGGAGACGAAGGATGGGCGCCATATGTTGTCTGGAGAAGGCGGGGCTGCCTCTTCAACAAGGTTCAAGTCAAAACGACGGTCGGAGGGGCCAGACATTTTCAAAGGTGTAGAAGAGAGAAGAGGTCAGACAAATCAAGTTCTTAGAAGTGCAAGAATGGAGCTTCTACAGGTGGATATTCAAGTGTGCTTTGGAACTTAATGTTAGCCTCTATAAAAATCTGCACTCGACGAAGCTTCAGAAATCGAAGAGG